ACATTACACCAGTAGCACAGACACTGAGATCAACAATTGATAAATGGGACCTCCTGAAACTGAAAAGCTTCTGTAAGGCAAAGGACACAGCAAGATAAAATGACAGCCCATAGACTGGGAAAAGATATTCACCAATCCCATATCTGACAGAGGGCTAAACTCCAAAATGTACAAATAACTCAAGAAGCTAGTCTCCAAAACATAACACCAAACAATCCAATTAAAAGGGGGTGCAGAACTAAATAGACAATTCTCAATAGAGGAATCTAAAATGGCTGAAAGACACATAAGAAAGTGTTCAACATCCTTAGCCATCAGGGAAATGAAAATGAAAACAACTCTGAGATACAATCTTAATCCTGTAATTATGGCCAAAATCAAAAACACCAATGACAGTTTATGCTGGAGAGGATGTGGAGAAAGGTGAACACTTCTCCATTTCGGTGGGAGTGCCAACTTGTACAGCCACTTTGGAAATCAGTATGGTGACTCCTCAAGAAAATGGGAATCAGTCTACCACAAGATCCAGCAATGCCACTCTTAGGTATATACCCAAAAGAAGCACATTCATACAAGTACATCTGTTCAATGATGTTCATAGCAGCACCATTTGCTATAGCCAGAAACTGGAAGCAGCCTAGATGCACCTCACCCGAAGAATGGATAGAGAAAATGTGGTACATTTACACAATGGAATACTACTCAGTGGAAAAAAATAACAAAGGAATCTTGAAATTTACAGGAAAATGGATGGAACTAGAAGAAACCATTCTGATCGAGGTAACCCAATTACAAAAAGACAAACATGGTATGTACTCACTCATATGTGGATTTTAGACATAGAGTAAAGGATTACCAGCCTACAATCCACACTGCCAGAGAAGCTAATAAACAAGGAGGACCCTAAAAGAGACATCAAGTTCCCCTAAAGAAGGAGAAAGGGTCAAGATCCCCTGAGTAAATTGGGAGCATGGGAAGAGTGGGGAGGGAGCTAGGATACTGAGAAAGGGAGAAGAGGAGGGATGCAGAGGACATGAGGGAGCAGAAAGGTTGAGTCAGGGGAAGAGTAGAAGATAACAAGAATGGAGATACCATAATAGAGGGAGACATTTCAGGTGTGCAGAGAAATCAGGCACTAGGGAAATATCTGGCGATCTACAAAGATGATACCAGGTAGCAATCTAAACAACAGAGGAGAGGCTACCTTAAATGCCCTACCCTGATAATGAGATTGATGACTATCTTATATGCCATCATATAGCCTTCATCCAGCAGCTGGTGGAAGTAGAAGCAAACACCCACAACTAATCCCTGAACTGAACTGAACTGGAACCCAGATGCAGAGAAGAATGAGTGAAGAGCAAAGGGTCCAGACCAGGGTGATAAAACCCACAGAAACAGCTGACCTGAACATCAGGGAAGTCTTGCTCCCAAGACTGATAGCTGAGATACCAGCATGGGACTGATCCAAACCCCAGGAACATGGGTTTCAGTGAGGAAACCTTGGAAATCTGCAGGACCTCCTGTAGTATTTCAGTACTTATCCCTAGCATAGGTGTGGACTTTGGGAGCCCATTCCACATAGAGGAATACTCCCTGAGCCAAGACACACAGGGGTGGGCTATCCCAAAGGATATGATAGACTCTGATGACACCCTATGGAGCAGAAAGAATATATGATAGGTAGGGTTTTAGTTGGGGGAGCGTGGTAGGGGAGGATAGGAGGGAGAAGGGAACTGGATTGTCATGTAAAACAGTCTTGTTTCTAATTTAAATAAAATATCTGAAAAAAAAGAATTAAGTGCCCTTGCTGCACAACCATGAGGACAAGAGTTCTGAACCCAGCATCTGTATAAGAAGCCAGGCATATGGTGCTGCCTTACAACTCCATCTCTAAGCAGGTTTGAGATAAGACTGCTGAGGCACGCTGCTTTCTATCCTAACCTGGAAAGTAGGAGTCCTGGTTTAGGAAGACACTGTGCCTCGGCAAAAAATAGGTGTAATGTGATAGAGAGATCGATCATTCTATTCACTCTTCTACTATATGAACATGCAGGCATACGGACCCACACACACGTGTATGCATAAACACACACACACACACACACACACACACACACACACACTGTTTCACAGTTGATTTGTGTTTGTCTAAAAAAGAATATTTGGATAAAGTTATTTGGTTTTCTCTATCCACATTCACCAAAATTCACCCTTTGTCTTTTTCATAACAATTATTTTAACAGATGTGGGATTATATCTCATTGTAGTTTTTAAAATTATTTTTTAAAACATTATACACGTGTTTGTCTGTACATGTGTCTGCAGGTGATCTTAGAGGTATCAGACCCCCTCAAGCTAGAGTTATAAGTAGCTTTAAGCCCTCCAACATTGGTATTATTCAGTCTCGATTTTAATTGTTGTCCCTGTGTATAATGTTTCTTTGAAAAATGTCTATTCAAGTTCTATACTCGTTTGAGCCAATCTTTTTGGTAAATTCTATTTTTTTCTCTTTTGAATTGTTTGAGTTCCATCTCTATTTTTGATGTTGTTGTTGTTAATACTTTACAAAGTGGTGGTTGGAAAATTGTCTTTTCACTATAATGAATAGATTCTTGGCCTGTGCTGATTTTTTGTTTGATGTATAATGCTACTTGCCGATGTTTGCTTTTAGTGCTCAAACTATTGGTGCCACATCCAAGAAGAAATTATCAAGACAGACGTGAAGCCTTCCTTCTATTTTGCTCAAGGTGATTCACAGTTCCAAGTCTTTCACCCAAAAGCCTGATCCATTTTTGTTCATTATAGAAAGTCAAAGATCAGATTTGTTATGTTATATGTGGATAAGCAGTTTCCTCACAGCAGACACCATATCCTGAAGAGAACATGCACCAAACACAGTAGGGTTTATTCACTGGATAGCAACATAGTTTAATACACAATCTCAATGATGTGAAATAGTACATTACTGGAATGAAGGATAAGAATAATATATTTCATATGGACAGAGGGAAAAAGCATTTGATAAAATTCAATACATTTTTATGTTTAAAATTTTTCAATGAGCTTATGTACAGAAAGAAGTTACGTTATCCTGATGCAGAGACTATGTGAAGGATCAACAGCTAATGAAGTGTCAAGAATTAAATGCTTCCTCTTTAATATCACAAGTAAATAAAAATTCCCTCTTTCATCACTTCTGTTCAGTTCGTTAACAAATAATTGGGCAGAAATGAACCAAAATTAGCACACTTCAGCAAGGAAATAGTAAAATTATCTGTGTTTGGAGATGACATATTTTATGTGTGGAAAAACTCTACAGGCTACACAAAATATTATGAAGATGAGTAAACACTGCAAAATTTTGAGGTATGAAATTAACATTCAAAAATCAGTTGAGGCTCAATCTTTTATTGTCTGCAAAGAAAATTACAAAGTCAGTCCCACTTAAAACATCAGAAATAAAAGTTTATTGGGGAAAACACTTTTTTCTGAGAATTAAAAAAGTAAACTAAGGATTACAAAATACCAATGAGCGAAACACAAATAATAGTGTAGGGGAACCTGTAGCCTGCCCCTAAGCAGGTGCGGCTACAGGTTCCCCTACAACTTAGACACCTCTTTCAGATGACTTTAGGGTTTAGTTAAAATAGATAGTTAGGGTGTGACATAAGCAGATTGTTATATCTTCTTATATTTCTCTTTTATGATTGTTAATTTTAGATACTTTACACTGTTAAGTTTTAATCCTCTTTTAGACTAAAAGGGGAATTGTAGGGAAACCTGTAGCCACGCCTGCTTAGGGGATGGCTACAGGTCTGCCTGACCATGCCTGTGAGGTCATAGAGTAAGAGTTTCAGGGCTGCGTTTCAGTTTCGTTTTCCCCTTTCAGCTTTCGTACAGACTGCTGCCACGCTGGCTGGCTAGGTCGCTCTGTAAGTAAGGCTTTTCCCTATTAAATACCCTTATATTTCTACTTGGCTCTGTGTTGGTAATTTCCCACTATATAATAGACACATGACTAATACTGCTTAATAGATGAAATTCATTTAAATAAATGTACACACCAGTCAAACCTATCTATAAGATTAAGTGTAATACCTATCAAAATATGCAACGTTTTTCTTATAGAAAACCCCACCCCACCCAGAATGAAGCACACACAATGAGAACAGTAACAGCTTGACATCTCCTGTTTGCCAGCCAGTGTTTTTTTTATTCTGAGCCTGAAATTTCACACTTGTTTGAATGGTTCTCAACATCAGTCCTGAGTGTCCTCTCCACTGCCCTGTGATGCACTGTCTGACGCCACTTGGCTCATCTTCTTAAGCCTTTATAATGATTAATTTCCATACAAATGAGACATGTGAGTGTATGTGTAAACAATGAATGTCACAGCGAACTGATATCACAAATAATACAGTCTGACTACACTATCCAACAACTTAGCCAGGACTTCCTGAAAGAAGCAGGGTACTTTAGGTGGCCGGCTCTTCTTGGGTCTCCCAAGGCCTTTTGCAGGTTGCCATATCTGGTTATTCCCTGGCCTTTGCCTTTCCTTATAGATGCAGGTTGTATCTGTCACAAAATGAAAATAATAAACAGAGGGTGAGAGGCCTAAAACTACTACTGCATTTTCTCTGGTAAAGTTACCCCATTCTTTGCAGTACCTGTAGATTACAGTTCCTTGAAACTAAAATAGAAAAACAAATGTCACTCCTTTGAACCTCTGGGAAGTACCTACATCTTCACAAAGCATCCTTTGGGCATGTTGAGCCTTTTTAAAAGGAAATTGATCCAAATTCTTTTAATAGACGTTCACTGCTGGGAATGGATGATGGCTGCTAGCAGCTTACTTACCTAAAAGGCAAAGAGCACTGGAGTTTGCTAACAAGACTGCTCCAACAGCAGATATTTCTCCTGTATGTTCTTATGATGAGACCATTTTTTAAATTATGGAAATGGTCCAAGTGTAAACAAAGAAAAATTCAGCTGAAAACTGCCAATGCTAACTTTAGGGCTTTGCAAAAAATATCAGCTCGTTTGCAGCAGCCAGATAAGACGCTTGGGCTTGTAGAGATGATTTTCCTACAGAATTTGAAGGAAATTGTAATGATGAATCATAAGCCCTGCCATAAATAAATTATGACTGCCGATTGCCAGATACAAAAATATTCTCATTAAAGCCCATTGTCTTTGAAGACAAAATTGCCTCATTTATTATTTCAGCAGACTCAAACCAATTTAGAACAATTAAAGCCTGCATTATCAAACATGCTTGATGTGCACTGAAAATACATTAAAAGAGAAACAGGTGCCATTTTCATCTAATAGGATCCATCACTCTCTACTAGACAAAGCGTGCCACTGTCACGGAAGCAATTTTGTGTGTCTCACTGAATGAATGTCAGTCTCCATCAGCCAAGGACAATGTGGCATCAGCCTATGCCAACTCATTCTTTTAATCAATTCTTCTGTATTTCTGCTATATCTACTACGTGCAGGTAATTGGTCAAGCTTGGTGGGAATCTAAAAGTTGAGAAAATCATTCTCATTTAAATTCATGCATATCCTCCAAGAGATTAGAGATGCCACATTCAAAGAGTAGTAATTGGAGGTAGAAATTGAATGGCATATGCAGCATTTGGAACTTAAAAGGAAGAAAAAGTACATTTTGATTGGAGAGACCAAGAAAAGTCATTGAGAAATCAACTTGGTGGGAACCAGGAACTGAGAATGATAAATTGCTACATGTAGCTGTTAAAGAACAGTGCATGACATGGCATGGAGTGAGAGAAATAGGGTAAAGGCACCAGCATTGTGGAGCAAATGGAGCTTTGAAGAATGCCATGCTGGAGGAGATTTAAAAACCAGAGTGACTTTAGAAGCTTAAAGCAAGTAAGTTTAAATGTTAGGTGAATATGTAGACACAGTACAGTGTGTATGTGGATTATAAATGTGGCCAGATTGGGAAGAGGATATAAAAAGACATATTCATGTTATGGTTACTTGAGTATCCTTTAAAATAGACACATTTTGTAATTTCTAAATCAGTGGATATAAAAGGATTTAAAACAAATGTGTACAATCAAGCTGAAAATATGAAAGAAAGAATAGAGTTTTGAAAATAAAATAATGTTGGTGACTTAATGAAATATGTATAATAAAATTAAAAGAGGCATTAAATACCTAAAATGTATATTAAAGGATGAAAATTAATTAACTTGGATCTTGATTCAGAAAGTTGAAATACAGCTAAGAAAACCTGGAAAACATTGAAGAAAAAGTTTATATTAATTATACATGTGCACTAAATAGACAACAAGAGAAGTGTTCAAAGTCAGTTTTAGGAGGTATTGAATTAAAGGAAAAATTCTTCCATTCATGAGAAGTGAATTGATGAACTTGGCTGTCCATCACAGCAACTTTCCCATGTAGAGCAAATCTCCCATGTCTTAGGATCCAGAGACAACTGATAGAACCTCAGATAGCATCTAAGATGCTCATGGTCAATATAGAAAAGTATTTATCAGCTACAAGAACTCAATATTAAGTTCTAGTGGTTGTCAGCCTATGACATTAGGTATTAGGCCTGTTGAGTCTGTATAATGTTACTTGTGTGTCTGTCTTCAGGACTGATGATTTGGTATTGGATAAAAAAAAATGGTGTGGGCTTCCCTGGAGAAGACTATTTCTCCTTCTCTCACATTCCTTATTGTCCATAGGTTCTTTGTCTAGGGTTGGAGTCCAATGAGATTTACTTCTCCCATGTTACCATGTCCATTGGTGTGCACATACATATACAAATATATTCTATATAAAGTATTAAAGGCATTTTTCCATCTAGGATCATTTCTTAAGTAGAAACTTAAGTAGTTTGTTAATGTCTTTTCTATTTTATTTTGTTTACTATAGCTCTCACAAAAAGCATAATTTTATTGGATGCTTGGATATACTAATTTCAACATAGATCAAAATGAATTAAAATATCTTCTAGTGAGTGCTTGAGCATGTTTAATTTAACATATATAACTAAAGTCTCAGTATGGAAGGCTTTGCCTTTAAAATATAAGCATCAATCTTCTTTTTTGTTTTTAGTTAGTTAAATTTTGTATCTTTTTTATACTTTATTTTTTTATTTGAATTAGAAACAAGATTGTTTTACATGTCAATCCCAGTTGCCACTCCCTCCCCTCCTTCCCTACTACCCTCCCAACTAAAATCCTACCTATCACATATCCTTTCTGTTCCCCAGGGAGAGTGAGGCCTTCCATAGGGGGCCTTCAGAGTCTATCATATCCTTTGGGATAGGGCCTAGGCCCACCCCACGTGAAGCAGCAATCTTCTATTATCCAGTTATTCTAAGCACAGACTGAAATCTGAGCAGCTCTCAAGTAAGTATGTCCCAGATTGACCAAGACTCTGGGGTGGCCCATATTACCTGTTGCTGGGATTTAGCATATTGATAGTTTCTGCTACTTGAGTCACTTTTCAGATGGTGATCACCTTCCCCGTGTCCCAGCGATTCCCTATCTTAGTCCAAATACTCCCACATCTGCAAGAAATAAAAAGGTGTCTCTTCCATAGACATTAGCTCTGCCTTTAAGTAAGATGTTGAAAACATTGCTCCTGTCATGAAAAGATGACATCAAGTATTTCTGGAATTATTAATGCAAATATTTAAAATGTGTAAATATGAAATACCATTCCATCAATCTTATCCATTTTATTCCTTTTCAAAGCAGATTCTCATTCCTTTCCTGTGATTTGGATATGTTGTAACATTTATGTCATTTACATATACATCAATAATATAAATAACAATACTACTTACATACCATCATTTACATGACCAGGCCACCTATATAAATATAACAAATATTTGGTACATTCTTCACCTTGAAAGACAGAATTTGTTAAGATCTCTTTACACACTGCTGATCAGGTGCAATGTCATGACAATATCCATGCACAGTCTTGGAGAAATGCCTGGTGTTCAGATAAATTTATCTGCCACTTATCATCTCGTTGAGAAATGACCCTCAATACATCTTACTGACTTTGTTCTCTGAAGTTTTCTATCAGGTTTACCTCTTCTATCTACTGGGGAAAACAAAACACTTCATGTTTTCTGGTTTTATTCTTCTCTTTCCCTATTAATTTGTCATCAATATGTAATTGAAACTATATGAAGCATTATACTTTACTACATGTGGGAACAATAGAAACGAAACAGAAGATTTCTAAGATTTCTGCTACTAGTAAGTCACAAAACTTAAAACAGATTTATTTACCCAGTTACAAATAAAATAAAATAAACAATAAAACCATCTTGGAGGTTATCTTATTCCCTTGCAGTCTATCAGCATCAATTCAATACTCCATAGAAACTTTGTAGCTCCCACCCCATCATTCACAATTCTACAGAACACAGAGACACTAGCTCTGATAACATAAGTCCAGATTAGCTTCTTCCCTTCCTAGCCTGGGATAGATCTAAATCCTTTATGCAAAGGGACTCTGTGCCTATATTTTTTGTTTGTTTATTGAGGGGGTATGGTCTTTATCTTTAGCCCAGGCTGGCCTGGAAATCCCTATGTTTTCAAGTTACGATAGTCTTCTAATTGCTGGAGTTATAGGCATGAGCCATAACATCCAGCTCTGAAGTAGTATTTTGATAAGCACTTCATCTGTAGCAGACACTTGAATTCTATGATTCCTGTTCATCCTCACCACAGATATAGACTCAGAAAGAACGAAATCACACTAATCTACACATTTTATTCAAGGTGATTCCATCAGTAACTGGGTGAGCTGCTGGGCACAATGAAGAGTACTTTATCTCTAGTTTTATTTTCTGATTCTTTCTTTAGTCTCACAACCTGAGTCGTTCCTTGGGATCCAATCACTGTGGCACAGGATTTTCTCAGTCTCTACTCAAGGGGAGTCTAGAACAAGTTGCTATCATTCAGAAGAATGAAATGTCCATCTTCAGCATGCTATGTGAGGCTACATTCTCACTGCTTCAAGGGGAATCAACAACAATGGCTGCAGCAATAAAAACAAACAAACAAACAAAAAAACAACATTGCTAGTACAACTGTGGTAAAAGTCAGATTTTTTTCCAGTGAAAAAAAGATAAAGCACTCAGCCCAACAATCACTGTGTCCTTACTATGCAAAGTTTTTTAGACTGTCCTAAAATCCTTTACCTGCACTAATCTCTGTCCTTTGGCTATGTTGCATTTGTTTATGTCATACTTAAAATAGAATTGCAATGAAAAGGAGCAAACACGGTTACAGCTAATGAGCTTTGTCTTAGATATTTGAGCATAAATAGACTTCAAGACCTAAGGGGAATCTTTAGATTGTAAGCTATTTCTTTTCTTGTGCTGTAGTGTTTTATTATTCATGAGAAGTTCTTTCAATGTCATAGTAATATTTCTTCAAAAATTAAGTTCTGTCAAATTTTCTTAGTTATATCTCATTCGACCACCCTATACTGTTGCAAATTTATACCCTTTATATTGGAATTAATTTCTCATAAAATGATAGTAGATGATTTGCCTAAGTAAAACTCCTTAGAGGTCAGGGGTATACATAGCACACAAACATTCTTATCCATGTTCTCTGACCTCCAGCACTGCCTGAAATGTTGCTGGATAAGGAGCCCTAACAATACATTTCAGTGGAAAACTCAAAGCCTCTTGTAATCCATAGCTATTTCACATATGTGTAGCAACATGTATCAACCATGAAATAGATATTCTGTGTGGGTGAACTCAGATATATCTCACTTGCACAGATCTTTAAGAATGTGCACACTTTTCATAATGTCCAGGGTTTTCTTCTGTCTTAGATTACGTCTTCTTAGCTTCATTTGGTGGAAATTCCATCTGAAATATTTTATGAATTAATCATATTATTCATAAATATTAGCACAGTCTTAATAGATTTTTCTGAACAGTGCAATTACATTTTATAATTCAACTCCCAAGTTTGACAAAGTCTTGGCATGCTCATTTCATATTTTCTAAGCAAATTTTGTGAAATTTTACCACTGAGTAGAATATATAGGTAAGGCAAAGTAGTTTTTCTCTTTTATTTCTTAATTTCATTGTGAGCATTGTATTTGCAGCATTTTCTTTATCCTCCTTTTCCTTTCTCCAACTCGTCCCATGCCTCTGCACACAAGAACCCCCTCAAATTTGTTATCTTAGGCTTTTTAAAAATTACTCTGAAACATTTCCAATGTATACCTGGTACTAAGAATGAACTGAAAAATCAAACTGAGACATAAAATAGAGTTTTAAAATATAAACTAAACTTATTTTGAAACTAAAAACTGATAAAATGTACACCCTATTCTTTATTCTTGAAAAGACTTTTTTTGTTGTTGTTCAAGAATATTCCAAGTAAGAGAATTTGTGCAAATGTGGCTTCGGCTTTGCTCTATATGTTCTATGAAATAGACCAGATTCTCTTCCAGAGACATTTAATCATGGCTGACAAATAGAAAAGCTATTCAGACGCGTTCTATGGTAGAGCAGCCCAGTCAGAAGCAGCAAGTTCGGGAAGAGACCAGTGACACTCACGAGAAGTCACACTGATTTCTGTACACATTCTGTTTCATATTGTTCTTGATACAAGTAAGGAATGCCATGGAATACACACTTATCCATGTGCTACAGAGACAGTGTGGTACTTTCCTCTAGACATTAGCCCATAAAGATGAAGTCTGGTTGAAAAATGCACACATGCATCAGGTCAGAATGCCAGGAAGTCCAGGGATGAGGGAGGACCAGTCTCATGCACAATATCATGACAGTTTCTGAGCCTGGTGATGAATGGGTCTGAAAGTGACTGATAGGAATGGCAGGGGCTGAGTCAGAAGATTCTAGAGTTTAGGAGAAGAAAGTGATCCAAATAAAACCATGAAAATGTGAAACAGCCATGGAGTTTGTTCAGAAAAAAAAAATAGCAAACCTCCTAGAAAAGATGGAAAGTGAAGTAGCTAATAGCATTCAAATATGTGTGCCTTGTGTAGATCAGGATGAAAAGCAAAACCCTGGGTATGTTATGTAGGTATATCCATACTCAGATGCATTCATGTATTCATGCAGGGAAGGTAGCAGAAAGCTTGACCACAAAACAATTCAGATCATTACAGTTTGGCAATGCCTTGGTTTACAAGCCTATTTTGGAAAAATTATCATTTTTTAACTAAGAGAAAAGAAGAGAAACCACAAGGAAGACAGAAAGTCTGAAAATAGCCCGATGTTAGCTTTGGAAGGAAGTGATGCTTGCAGATGTAGTATGGGGAAGATGTGCCATTAGCTAAGGAGTGACGTGAAGCCTTAAGATGTCACACAGGAATGATGGGGGCAGTCTGCATATCAAGCAATCTTGTCAGTGCTACACTTACACATCCAATCAAAACTGCAGAAAGACAGGGAGACTGGGGGACTCACTCATCCAATCAGAACTGCAGAAAGAAAAGGAGATTGGGAGGACTTACCTGCAAATGGTAATCCTGTGTGCCAACTGTATAGTTCGGCAGATTTTGTTTTTTTGTTTTTTGTTTTTTTTTTTACTTTATTTACTTTACATTTAAGTGCACTATTTTAATGTTCCCCACTTACAAAATAAAGTAAGTGTCATTTTTAGGCCTGGAAGATAGCTCAGTTGTTAAGAGTACTGACCTCTCTTTCATAATAGCTGAGTTAAATCCCTAGTACCCACATAGTGGCTCACTTTAGAAATCCTTTTCCAAGAGAGCTCCTCCTCTCTGGCACCAGGCAGTAACCTAGTGCACAGACATCCATGCAGGTCAACAGCCATACACAAATAATTTTTAAGTAAGAGTAATTTTCCAAAAAAATGTCTTCAGACATCCAGTCCTTATTTTCTTTACAATTCACATTTAATAATTTCTGGTTTCTGTTGTGCTGGAGAAAAATGCCAAATCTCAAATCACTAGTAGAATATATATGTCCTTGACTAATTTTTTTCATTCTTTCATTTATCTCCCCTGAATTTTAGCCAGGGTTTACATGCCACAGGGTGTAGACAGAAGACAAGATATTCCTAATAAAGCAAATGTTTTAACTGCTTACAGCAGAAGCAGAAGCGCTTGTTTGCATAGTTCCATGGTTCGTCAAAGTCCCATAGAGTTGACATCAGGCCCATGATAGATGCTTGTACACACAGTGGGTGAGTTATGGGACGAGGACACTTAAAGTCTGATGGTCTTAAACTTGTCACAAATTAAGTGGAGCAGCAAACAATCTAATTAAAGATTTAAGGGAAATGTCTTACTATCCGGAAAAAGAGTATGTGACATTTTTATCACATGCAGTTATATAATGCAGCTACCAGCAACAACAATTTCGGTAAGATACATAATTTCAAATGGATATAATGTCTCTGAAGCTTCTATGAATGGAGCAGTATGTACTTTACAGATTAGTTTAACTGTATTTCAAAACTTATAAACTACTGACTCACCATGCCTCAATTTCAGTACACGAAACATTATTTCCAAAGTGTGTGTGTGTCAGGAGTCTGCCTAAAAGTTCTAGAGGTCCATGATGATGACCTACATTGTCATCACTCAATATAAAAGCGTTCCTACTCTTAATTAAGGTTAAAATTTTCTGAGAACCTCACGACTCTGAAAATACATAAGGTGTTCAGTCAACAGAAAACGAAATATTTTCATTTGTAAATACGTACCTAATTTGGTATTGGTTTGAAACTCCTTTAATATTTACTGAAAAATATTCTGAGACTCAGAAAGGGTGAAATCTCTAAGCCAGGGTTTGTTTAGCCAAAAAGATATTTAATTTCCAGAATGTGCTAACAACATAACCTTTTTATGAAGCATGAAAATATTAACACAGTAAACTTTTGTTAATTAAAGTAAGCAAAGTAGATTCAAAAGGACAATTGAAGAATATAAGTAACACATATTGTATAATTTCAGAAGAAACAAATGACCATGTTATACTTCAAGAAGATAGTCCCACCATTGTAAACTAATCATCATGTCTGATGTCCACACATTGCTAAAACTTCTTATCTAATATCTATTAAGACAGGGGTATCTGTGTATTTCAGATATTATATAGAATCACATTTCCTGAATATTAATACTTGAAGTTGAATAGAATTAACTATTTTGTGTTTAAACATTAAAAGTTCCTAGGCAATAATTGTACTTTTCATGTTTTAATACTATATCTGTCTCTTTCCTAAATAATGTCCATAGTGAGCAAAACTGGAGACATGCTTGTCCAATGAGGGAAGGAAGAACTCACAATATGCTCTATTTCAAACAAGGACTTTTCCACCCCCTACTAAAAAGTTATTCTGGCTATTTACTTAGTAATAGACAAACACTGATGAAGTCTATTTTTTCTTAATTTGATTATTAAGAGGCATGGAAAATGAATTCTACTCTTATGAGCATGATTGTATTTACCATCAGACAGACAGGGCTTAAAATGATGACTACAACTCTTGTTTTAAATCCTAGCTACCATGATTCCTGGTTATATAATGTTGGGCACAATAGTATGCCAAGCTACAGTGGTATTTGTAAAAAAGGAAAGAAAAGCACATTTGTCTAAATATCCTCCCCATTTTCTTGAACAATGTGAATAAATTAATATGATTCATTACATATATGTGTATAAATGTTTTGTATACATATGTACACACTTATAATATATAGACATGTATGGACATATATGTACAATGTGATATGTTATATAATATATGTTACATAGTATATGATTAGGCACTGGAGATAACGTCTCAGTAGTGAAGAGTGATTACTTCTCTTTCATGGGACCCAGGTTCTGTTCTTTGCCTCCAGCTCACAACCCTGTAACTCCAGTTTCAGGGGACCTGATGTTCTTTTCTGACCTCTGCATATTCCTCTACCCATGAAGTGAACATTCCTTCACTCACTCAGGCTCATGCACATAAATAAATAAATATTTTAAGAATTTATGGAGCTATAAACATATATATTGTATGTGTATATGTAGTAGATAATCTTAATTGGATTAAGAAATTCCTAGAATGTTAATAA